TCTCTCTCTCTCTCTCTCTCTCTCTCTCTCTCTCGGGCATTGGGTGCGCCTTTTGGTGCTTTACAATAGCGCCTTTTGTCATGGACGACTAAACTAATGGATTTGACCCCCAGACCATCTTTACTATTGTATAGACATAACCCGGATAAAGGCCTATGAATGTTGGTGGTGCTTTCCTTTTTGTTTTCCTCTCAATTTGTCGTTTTGTTTCGTTTTTTTGTTTGTTTGTTTTTGGTTTTGTTTCAGTGTTCATTCGTATACATGTATTTTCTTGTTGGGTTTTTGTTTGTATTTTAATTCATATTTCTTTTCCCCCCTTTTTTTTGGGGGGGGGGGGGGGGGAGTTGGTGTTGTTCTTGTTTTTAATGTAGGTGGTTTTATGCCCCCAGCGACTCAGTTCAGATCTTTTAGAAGACGGGCTTCTGATTCTGCCTGTCAGGGCCAATCCGGGCAGAGAGGGATACAATATCCCAACAGAAAGACCGAGATACTCGATGAATATTTCTCTCCTCCCAGGAATCGAACTCGTGTCTCTTGCGTGCGAAAATGAAGCGTTTAACCCCTACCTCACAGACGCCGGCTTCGTGTAAATAAAAACAATAGTAACAATAACAAGAGTTAAAACCTCAACAACCACAACAACAACAACAGCAGCAGCAACAACAACAATAACAACAACAACCACAACAACAACAGATGTGCGTGTGTTCCGTCGTTCATGACTGCCATGTCATTATCCAGTGTCCAGCTCAGCAGACTCTCCCCTCAAGCATCCGGTGGTTGAAAGGGATTCCACAGGAGACAGCGGCATTAAAGTCACCCTTGTGGGTGGTTGGCGGGTGCTCTGGTGTAGTTTGCTTCTTCTTTCCCATCAAACATCTATCGTCTTTATATCCCCTCCTTCTTTTTTGTGTTTGTTACTCTCTTGTAACACCTCTAATCTTCGGCACTTATATGATCTCATTGTGTTGCAAGTGCCGTAAAACTCTTACTAAAACTAAAACTAAAAGTCACCCAATGTGACGGACTAGGGTGTAACTGGGAGGTCGTCGGTTGCCAAATGCGTAGCTTGTTGAGAAATGTGGGATCTGACGGGAGGGCAGTCGGTGTTGCATACTGTGGCCCATTTGCTCTTCCCGACCTTCACCCTACACATCGATATTTCAGTTCCGCTGATGGACGCGTTTCGGACATTTTCGAAAACTAGTAGGGTATTCTTGGTGTAACTGCGAGAGGAAACCCATTGATTATTTTGAAGCAAGACCGTGGGAACGTGAAATCAACCCCGACCCCCCCCCCTTCAACCTGTACCGCATAAGCGGAAGGAGTGACTCCAGTACGAAGATCCGAAGCGCTGCTCTTCGTCGGGCACGAGAGCTTGATGCAGAGTACAATATCTACACTGACGGCTCGGTGAGTGCAGGAACAACGGATAGTAGCGCTGGGGTCGTTATCACAACGGGGGACCTCTCCAACCAGACTGTTGTCAACAAAAATAGAATAGACAAAACGTCGGGTCCAATCTATCCACTGTGCAGCGAGGAGCCCCAAGATTTGGGGCAGTGACTGCAAAAATGGCCGCTGCGGAGGTCCGGCGGTGTCATCTTTTGAGGGAGGATTCAGGGAGGTTGGACTGCCTCACCCGCTACCCAAGAGAGGCCTTGGCGAAGAGTGCGCTCTTCGGGGCTCCAAACAGCCCGGAAATATAGCCCCGTCCCCCAATACACACACAACAACTACAGCCACATCGACACAGTTCAGTTCATTTAGGAGAATCAAACTCTTGCTTGCGACAATGAAGCGCCTAACCTCTGCGCCACACGCGATTTCGTGTTTTTAAAAAACCCAATAACAACAACAATAGTTAAACCTTAACAACCACAACAACAGCAACAACAACAACAACAACAACAACAACAACAACAACAACTGCAGCAGCAGCAGCAACATTAGCAGCAAAAACAACAGCGCAACTTTTACCGTCAGCAAAACGTTTAAAAAAAAAAAAAAAAAAAAGCAAT